ATACACTTCATATAGTTTTCTCTTACCTATTCCAGTGAAGTTGTGCTTGTCATCAGAATCTCGTCAACTTCCACTTGCCCAGCAGATCCTGGCCTCATGTTAGTCAAAATATTCCCGTATGGAGAACGCGACCGAGGTCTTTCTTAAGAGAGGACTCGAACTTCCCCCCGTGCACGGTATCAAGTCCAAACCTGGGTGAGGGAGAGGATGTTGGGATCTGGGGGGGAATTTTTCTAAACTTCATACTTCTTAAAATATTTAGTTTTATTTTGAAAATTTTGCCCCATTCAAATGAATGGGGAAATTTTACTTCAACATATTTTCAGCTGTTTCAGCTATCAAAATGTTCAGCTGTTTAAGGACATTCATGCTTCTGTTCAGGATTTTTCTAAACTTCATACCTTTGAAATATTTAGCTTTATTTTGAATGTTTTGCCCCATTCAAATGAATGGGAAAATTCTACTTTAGCATACTTTCAGCTATTTCAGGTATCAAAATGTTCTGCTCCTCAAAGACATTCATGCTTCTATTCAGAATTTTTCTAAACTCCATAAGGAAGTCACTTTCGGCTTTACATAAGGTTACATAAGGAAGGATGCCCTTCCTTATGTAACCCTGACTCAAAACCTGGGCTGCAGCAGCGAGAGTGCTGTGCCTTAACCACTAGCCTACCAGGGACGGCTAATTTTTTGTCTAAGCTCCATACTTTTGAAATATTTAGCTTTATTGTGAAAGCTTTGCCCCATTCAAATGAAGGAGGAAAATTCTTCTTCAGCATACATTCAGCTATTTCAGGTAATTATGCAAGTGCAAAATGAGTATGTAAACAGTACAGATGGAATTACATGAGGTAGATCCTGAGTCAGCTGTTTAGGAGTCTGATGGCAGTTGGAAACAAAGAGTTTTTCAGTCTAGAAGTCCTGCATTTCACACTTCTGAGCCTCTGACCGGAGTCTGTGCTGGGGGTGGGTGGGGTCTTTGAGATCGGAGGCAGCTTTCCTATGCACCCTGTGGTGGTAAATGCTCTGCAGAGAGGGCAGTGGAATCCTGGTGATTTTCTCTGCAGTCTTTACCATCCACTGCAGGCGCTTGTGGTCCATAGCAGTTGTGCTGCCATACCAGACAGTGATGCAGCTGGTCAAGATGCTCTCGACGATGCAGCTGTAGAAGTTGCAAAGGATCCTAGGCGACATGCCAAACCTCCTCAGCCTCCACAGGAAGTACAGCTGCCACTGGGCCTGTTTGACCAGCTGTGTGGTGTTAAGTGTCCAAGTGAGGTCCTCACTGATGTGGACACCCAGGTATTTAAAGCTGCTCACCCTCTCCACTTCGAGCCCCCAGATGAACAGTGGCTGATGAGATCTCCTCTCCTTCCTCCTGTCCACTATCATCTCCTTCGTCTTGTCCGTGTTGAGGCTGAGATTATTGTCCTTGCACCATGACACCAGACCAGCCACCCCCCTCCTGTAGGCTGCTTCGTTCCTGCCAGTGATGTGACCTATCACTGCAGTGTCGTCCGCGAACTTTAGGATGATGGGTGACACAGTCGTGGGTGAACAGGGTGTAGAGGATGGGACTGAGGACACATCCCTGTGGGGTGCTGATGTTCGTGATAATGCTAGCTGAAGTCCTATTGCCAATCCTAACAGTCTGGGGCCTGCCAGTCAGAAAGTCCAGGAGCCAGTCACAGAGGGTGGGGTGCAGACCCAGTGTGGACAGTTTGTGGGGGATAACTGTATTGAAAGTTGAGCTGTAGTCATTGAAGAGTATCCTGATGTAAAAGTCTCCTTTTTCCAGGTGAGAAAGGGAATAGAGGAGGGCAGCCGCGACAGCGTGTGAGGTGGCCCTATTGTGCCAGTAGGCATCCTGCAGGGGATCCAGGATGTCCAGTATACTGCTCTGGATGTGGACTAGCATGACTCTCTCAAAACACTTCATAATGATTGGGGTGAGTGCCACTGGCCTGTAGTGGTTCAGGCAGGTGACCGGGCTCTTCTTGGGAAGGGGGACAATGGTTGTGGTCTTAAAGCAGGTGGGAATAATGCTCTGGCTGATGGAGAGGTTGAAGATGGTGGTGAGAACATCAGCCAGCTCACTGGCACATGCCCTGAGAGCCATCCCAGGGATGTTTTCCGGTGCTGCTGCTTTGTGGGGTTGATCTTCCCCAGGACTTTGTGTACCTAGCCTGGTGAGACAGTTAGTGGAGGGGAAATGGGGGGTTGGGTGGTCCAGGTGTGTGCGTGCTTCGTCTCTGTGCTGTAGCTGGAGGTCTCAAAGCAGGTGTAGAAGGTGTTGAGGTCATCCGGCAGGCTGTCTGTGGAGCTGATGATGCTGTTGGTGGTCCTGTAGTCTGTGATGTGCTGCAGGCCTTGCCACATTCGTCCGGAGTCGGCAGTAGAATAGAAGCCATTCAGCTTGTCTCTGTACTGCCTCTTGACCACTGTGATGGCTTTCCTCAGTCTGTACTTTGTAGCTTTGTACTCCATCTCATCACCTGATCTGAATGCATGAGAGCGAGCACGCAGCATGTGACGTACCTGACTGTTTATCCAGGGCCTCTGGTTGGGAACCTCCTGACTTGTATGGTGGGCACAATGTTGTCGATACAGGTACTAATGTATCCAGTCACATACTCAGCATAATCCTGTACGCTGGATGGAGACAGAGCAGTTTCCATACCCTGTCTGGGCGAAACAGTCCTGCAGGGTGCCTTCAGTCTCTGGGGTCCAGAGTTTAATTTGTTTGGTGACAGAGATTTTTTGTTTCAGTCTTTGTCTGTAAGCTGGATACAGGAACAAAGAAATGTGGTCTGAGCATCCGAGGTGGGGGCGGGGGCAGCCCTGCATGCATCCCATATGTTATTGTTAACATGAGAGTTTTCTTGCCCCGGGCGGGAATGTTCACATGTTGGTAATATTTAAGAAGTACAGTCTGTAAATTGCACTGATTAAAGTCACCTGCAGCAATAAATAAATTTGGAGGTATTACACATGAGGAATTCCTCTTGAGTGTACATGGGG